ATACTATAAAAAGAACTTTATCCTTATTATCCTTATCTTTGTTTTCTTCGTAGAAGTAGAGGTCTAATTAAAGGAGCTAGATATTAGTATGGTTTCTAATGCTATAATATAAGTTGGGTTTATGCGCCTTAGTACCTTTATATTCTATTAGGGTTACCATAGTGTTGTCCGTATCTATGGAAGAAGTAGGAGTCCCCGTTGCCATATTAAGGGTGTTTAAGATGTTAAATCCAGAAGGGTAGCTAGTCCTAAAGGGTTAAGGTTGGTTCTCGGGCAAGACAACTAAGGGAAGGGAAGGGGTTTATTAAGATAATAGTATTGGAGGAGATATAACGAGTTAATAATATGGCCTAAGTGTAATCCAAATAATAGATTAATAAATAGGTTAAATATGAATATGAGAGCTTATACTCATATTCCTATATAGGATATCTACTCGGCTGCTTAGGGCTCCTAAGTAGCTAAGTAGGTCACGTGACTACTATCTAAGTGGCTTGGTAGCTCTTTATCTTGTCGCAACCCTACCACTACATCCTTATACCTTTATAAGCGCCCAATCTACCCTTCTACTTTCTAGTTCATAATAGTCCCCACCACTAGCCCTTAGTACCTAGGCCTCATCCTTATAGAGTAGCGCCGCATTACTACTACCCTAGAGGATTTGGCCGGGCTTATTCCTCTCCTAGAGATAATTATAGGTACATCGCTTAGACGCAGCTTAGGCGCATAATAATATTTTCTAGGCTACCAACTATATTACTACTAGTGCCGTGGGTAATAATGATAACGGCTCTAATAATGATAATAAGTAGTTAGGGAGTAGGGAGGTGTAGGTGGTATGCATAATAATTAATATTTTAGGATAATAGGTAGATACCCTAGCCTTAGGGCCTAAGCTATAAGGTCTAGCTATAGGTAATAGTATTTACTTCACGCTAGGATTAATAGTGAAAGGATAACTTAATGGTATTAAGTAAATAATACTTAACTTCCCTAAAGCCAGTGTGCAGCGTGGGATATATATAGCTAACTTACTTAGTATACTAGGACTCTATTAGGCCTTAGCGCCATATGCCATAACACTATAACAAACTTCGCGATCTACTCGTTATAGAATCTCCCCCTCTAGCTATAGTCCCTAGCAGCATACTATGGCCTCAATAAAAACCTCACCCTATAGAAAAGGAAAAGAGTATCTATAGTAGTACTTATCACCTACGCCATAATAGCATATCACCTATATATGGTGCCTACCACAATCACGTATCACGTATTATTATAGTGAAGACTCTATGCCTTCTATTTACTATAGCCTTAGTAATAATAAATAGATAAGCTCTCTATATTTTAATTT